CTTGCCTTGTGAATAGTAACACGATAGACATTGGTGTCATCCACAAACCAAATAGTTTGATTGGAGAATAACTCATTATAGTTCTGTGAACTAAGATAGGGTTCAGTAGGCTCACTGGAGTACAACTGAAGTGCCTTTCGAATACGTTCTCTCAGCACATACAAAGCAGGATTGGCTTTCATAATTTTAAGCATAGCCTGTTGGATAAGGGGTTTACTACCCGGGAACCAGTTGCCATAAGCACTGTGAAGATTGTAGGCAAGATCGATGGCAATCATTACACCAGTTGGTGAAGGATAGATAGACATTGTATCTGTCGTGTAATCTAGGAACTTCGCACGGCAATAACGTTCCACATCGTGAGAATCGTAATCGCCCCAACGTAATTGGACATCAATCCAATACTTTTGAGTCGTAGTTCCATCCATAGTATCCTTAGTATCAGCCAAAAGACTGGGCCGAGAAACTGGCCACTTGTAGGAAGCGAATAAAAGAATATCAGCACAACTGGAATTCATTTTGTAGGACTTTCTAGGGTGAATGGTCTCTTTTTGCACGGTTTCAATTTCTAAAGCATCAAGCTCCTGATCAAATACCTGGCAAAGATCCATCACAACTGATTCATGGATTTTCTGCCACAAGTGAGCACGGAAGATTTGAATGAGAGAAATCTTTAGTGTGGGGATTTTACCGTGCATAAAGATACCGGTTAGATCCAACTGGACTTGGAAACCAACATACACGTTGGCACGATTGATAGTTGGCGACCACCAGAGTGTGAAACGACGATTTGGAATCTGGTTAAGACCGGAGCGTTGAGCATTTGTCAACTTCTTGTATTTCATGGACTCTTCAAAACCACTCGCCTTTTCCCAGAAAAGGCCTTCCCAAGTTGGGAAATAGGTTCCCTTAAATAGGGTATGTTCAAGAATGCCTTCAACACCACCCAGAGCCTGGATCATATCCGTACGGTAGTTGTTAAGATTCCACAATTTTCCATCGTGACGCTGATGGGTCCACCAGAATGGATTCTGCTTGAGAACTTGGTACTGCTTAAATTCGGTACGAACTCTCCAACCCTTGTCGTAGGCTAAGGTGTGACGATCTTTCTGGAAAAGAGTGTTGATTCGAGGAATACCACGATCCCAACTGTCCTCAAGGTCTTCAAGAGTCAAACGCCTAAGCAGAAAAAAGGCATTTGGTTGATCTTCTAGTGGGTAAGTAAGTAAGCATTGATGGGATTATAAGACAAACAATAATTAGTTTCACAATTAAAAAAGGTAGAAATTAATACTATTAATAAGAACATAAGCACAATAGGCATGTAAGCAGCAAGGAATTCAAAAATTTGAAACCTCATTTAGTTCCAGGAGACCACATAGACGGTTAAAATATAGCACAACAGAACAACAAATCCATAAAATGGGCTACATAACACACCTTCGCACCAATCGACAAACTTCACTGGTATAGCAGAAATGTCCACTCAATCTTGGCCCAGGGAACAACACAGATAGCTACAACCACTGTGTAACTAGAGGGCCCATTTCCAACATCATCATCAAAGAATCATCAACGGCATTTAGTAAGACGAAATGTAGCACTTCTTCGTACCAATCGACTAACGCCACTGGTATAGCAGAAATGTCCACTCAATCTTGGCCCAGGGAACGACACAGGCAGCTACAACTACCGTGTAACTAGAGGGCCCACTTCATGCATTACTACCAAACAATTATCAACGGAAACCAGTAAGATGACGAAATGTAGCACTTCTTCGTACCAATCGACTAACTTCACTGGTATAGCAGAAATGTTCAC